AACGAGCCATCAGTCGACCAGTGTCCGCCCACAGTACGTGAGAGCCCAGTACGAACACTAATATCTCGGTTCAGTGAGTAATACTTAGTAATCTATGTCGTGTAAAAATTCGTAAGCTCGACAACGAGTATTATATGTAGCAATTGTATACCGGAATTGTGAGACAATAATAGTTATTGTTATTATTGATTATTATTATTATTATTATTATCATCATTAATATTAAATGTTATTCTTCTTCATTGATATTTATTATTCTTATTGTTATAATTCTGTAACTAAAAAAGTTAGCAAAATAAAAAAAAAGTTCTACAGACTTTAAGTTTTGTTACACCCTTTCAACTAGAAAAACATGAATAAATCTAAATATATTCCACATTGTTCACAAGCAATATTATACGAAATGATATTTTTTTCTAAACTCTCCAAAACAATAAATTCCTTCCTCTTTGCGTCTTTTTACTTTATGATATTTTGAGCCTACATTGAACAGTTCTTTAGAAAATATCTTTCTCACCATAAGCATTCTTTTTTTCAAAACTTTTTTTGTACACACAATAATAAATATGTATAAAAATTGATCTATAATTCATGTAAGCGTGTTTACTATCGGGGGTTTTAAGGGTTTAACCCACCCCAACATTTTTAGAAAATGTATATTTTTGTTTTTATATGTATTCATATATAACCAGTAGTTTTAATCCGTGTAACAAATATTATATTGATATATGTAATCAAATTTTCTGTCTGTATTTATTCATTGTTAATAAATTTTGTATTCGAAACTATTACAATTATAGTTGATCAACTACAAAGTATGTTTTTATGTACGCACCTGAATTCATTGAGTGGTCAGTTTTTTTTATATATGTTTTTATATAAGTTAAGATGAAAATTCAGGAATTGTCAGTATATCTAGTCATTGTTGACAATGACTAGAAAGGTTAGGCAATGTTGGATATTTCGTAGTTTTATCAAAATTTCCGTATTATATTAGGCAATGTTATAAATCCGCATTCAAACAAATACCAACACCGCTTTATGGGTGATCGATCTGATTATGGAACATTCAAGTCTTCATGAAATATATATTAATTTAAATGACGAACATTTTTTTAAATTTTTTGTGCCCTAGGCAAATCATTGCGGAGCACAGTTTGGGTACCGCTGTACTAGATTATATAATTCCAAGTGTCATAGTAATTTACCACGTAACAATAAAGATTAAGATTATGATTTATCCTAAATAGCTAATAAGTATTAAAATATATTAAATTAATTTTTAATGTTATTATCAATGCCTTCTTTTATTAGGAATTTTTATCAATGACTAGGTATTGACATTAATTCCTTACTAAATCAGACATTATCGTTATTGACTAGTCATTGTAAACACGGACTGATTGTCATCTTTTCCGGTAACATATATATACCTTTTAGGTTTTATGACGAAAACAACTAATTGATCAGTTTATTAAAAACACGCTTATAGATTACAAGTTTTTAAACCTTGTTCATTGTTAATCCTAGCATTATATTTATAGTATAAATTTGATACGTTTACAGCTGTTATTAATGTGATATCCGGAAGTAAAAATAATTTTTTAAGTAATTTTTAGTTAATTTTTTATCAAAATCAAATGAAATCGAATATAAAATGTTTGTAGATAAATCAACATTAAAAATATAATTTGTATAATGAACATCGACTATCGCTTAGTAAAGTTGATTGAAGATGGAATCGGGGGGAATACAGACGGACCACTTTCTGACGGCAGTCGCATCGTGTCGCCGATATCACCCACAAAATCGTGGCCTGTTGGTGGTTGAACACTACATACACGAGCTATACGCCAGCCACATTCAAACCACTCGCCACCAGCATGATATTATCAGTATATATATATAAATAGTTATCATAAAATTATATCAAAAATGTATTATTGTTACGTCTTCTGCGTAATAAGTGTTAACAACAGTGCTTCTTCGTCGGAATCCATTTTTACAGTGGTCAGTTGGTAAGGTCTAGGTAGGTCATATGTATTATTATATTATTTGTGGTCGTGGTGTGGTTACGTCGGCGAAAGCTGGACCACAAAAAAGTGGTTCAAAAATGGTCGTTCCAGCGACCGCACAACCACACGCTAACTACAAAAAAAAAAAAAAAAAACGCTCAAAGTGGTCCGCGTATGTTAAGTCATTATTATCAAAACGTAATCCATACGATATTTAATGAATATTTATATATCGTGAGACGCATTGTATACATTTAAATATTATGTGACGATTATTTGAACATAAAAAAAATCTTATTTTCGAGCTTTTGATCGATTATCATTGATTACCAACTCTCGAATAATTTTAAAAATATAACATAATATTGATATTTCAATCCGTTGTAAAAACGTACAACATTTCTTGTTAACATAATAATACAATATACCTTAAAAAAAAAAAAAAATGTAATAAAACATGAATTATGTATGTGTACAAAATATGTAGTGTATTGACGTACATGTATAAACATTTTAATAATTATTGAGGTGGTAAAGCGTAATATAATAATTTTCACGTAATAATTCATTTTAAGGAATATATAAGTAAAGCTGCGTCCACACTATGCCGAATGGTTTCAATCGACAATGCTGAACAAATGTGTACGTGTCGCCCACTTTTGTTGGAACATGTCGGGACAAATCAATCTCAACCCAAATATAGTCGAAAATCAAAAAAAATCGAATCGACAACAGTCGTGTGGACTTATCGAAGCATGTTATTCGACTTTTAAACTATAGCTGATGTTATCATATTTTCAAAATCGAAATTATCTGTACTCCGGATTCAATTGATCAATCTCATCAGGCAATAAATATTTCATAAATTCATCCGTAACTATTCTTTCTGTCTCTGAAAAGGCTGGATCTTATCCGAAACCTCCTAGGACGACGACGACGAAGTTGTTAGCTTCTATGATGATTGAATCAGTAGCAATTAGTAGGCATAGTGCGGACGCGGCTTAACACTTAACGTTATACTGCAATTATTGTTGTCTAGAAATATATCTATACTCAAATTGTACTTAATTCATTAAGCGCTATATTTAAGAGTTTATAAATAATTTTGGTAATATTTGCTGCAGGAAAATAATATCATGTTTATCGAATTTTCAAACGTTAGAAAGTTGGAAACTCAACTTGAAATTATTCGAGCAATATATATTTATATTGCGAGAAATATCAGTTAATTACTTTTGAACAAAGAAATATTAACTTTCATCGAATAAAAGTTGTCTATTGTCTAAAGAAAATATAAGCCCGGAAAAGACTTTGCGTTAATTTCTTTTATCAAAGTAGTCTGTATATTATATAGAACAGTGTTTCTCAACCGGTGTGTCGCCGAGCAAGTCCAAATGTGTCGCGTGAAGTACTAATATTAAATGACAAAAAACATTATTAACACTTTTAACTATTTACAAAAATGAATAGGTATTTGATATAATTTCCATGATAATAAAAATAGATTTTCAGCTATCGACATAAAATAAATTGTATTATTATCGTCATTTTGAACGATTAATCGCGCTCGAATCGCCTATTGTGTGTTATCTTAATTTATAAATGTTGGTTTTTGATATTTTCGTTTATTTTTAAACAATGAATACGTATAGTATATTTATACTGAAAACATGCACCGTATCAATAATTCACTTTATTTGTATGCTCAGTTGTCATTTACTTCTATAGTCGAATAGACTTTTTCTTAATTTATTAACAACAATATTTTTTTGTTACTAATTAAAATAAAATGGATAAATTTTTGATTAAAAAAATACAAGTAATAAGAGAGAATACAGATGAAGATAATTTGGAAACAGAAAAAAACTCGTCATCTTCTGTAAATGCATCGTCAAGTTTTAAAGAAATACAAGAAAATCCTTCTAAAAAATTCAAAGGTAAATATCGTCAATACAATGAAAAATATTTAAAATTAGGATTTTTTTGGGTCGGCGACGAACATTGTCCTATTCCTTATTGTTTTATTTGTGACGAAAAATTGTCGAATGAATCAATGGTTCCCAATAAGCTAACCCGCCATTTCACCACAAAACATCAATCGTTACAAAATAAACAAATTGATTATTTTCAAAGACTATTAGATTCAAAAAAACTACAATCAAAACAATTTGTAAGATCAGTGAAAATTTCGGATAAGTCACAGAAAGCTAGTTTTTGTATCGCCCAATTGATATCTCAAAAAAAAAAATCTCATTTAATTGCCGAGAGTCTTATTATGCCAGCTTGTCGTATCATGGTAAATATTATGTTAGGAGTCGAAGCAGAAAAAGAAATAATTAAAATACCATTATCTGATAGCACAATTAGTCGTAGGATTATAAATATATAAGAGGATATTGAGGAGCAGGTTATTGAAGTTATAAAAAGTGGAGAATTATTTGCCTTGCAAGTTGATGAATCAACAGACATAAGTGGGAAAGCTCAATTAATGGCATTTATTAGATTTATTGTAAATTTAAAAATAGTTAGTGAGTTTTTTTGTTGTAAAGAATTATCTGGGACAACAACTGGTCAAGATGTTTTTGATGTCATAAATAAATATTTTAAAAGGTAAATCGTGGACTTCTTGTGTAAGTATTTGTACAGTTTGGGCGCTATCAATGACAGGCTCTATTAAAGGATTTATTACAATTGCCCAAAATCCAAATATAAACACAACACACTGTTTTTTACACAGGGAGGCATTAGTAGCAAAAAGTGTTGTTAATAAATTATAGATTGTACTTGATCAAGTCGTAAAAATGGTGAATTTTATTAAAAGAAGACCTCAAAAAATTCGATTATTTTCCCAGTTATGTGAATCAATGGAATCTGACCACTATACATTGATTATTCATACAGAATACGTACGTACGTTGGTTATCAAAAGGGCGAGTTTTATCACGTTTTTATGAACTTAGAGAAAAACTTTTAGTATATTTTACAATGGAGCAAATGGAATATTCTGATTATTTATCCGATGAATTTTGGTGTTCAAAATTAGCATATTTAGCTGATATTTTTGAACACCTGAATCAATTAAATTTAAGCATGCAAGGTGAAAATCAAAATTTATTAATATCTATAGACAAAATGGCTGCATTTAAAGGCAAATTATTGATTTGGATATGTTTCCTTTAACTGCTAATACTAAATTTACTGATAAAATAATACCAATTATCAATGACTTAATAACATTATTGGACCAAAAACTTGATCATTATTTTTCATCGCTGGATTTGAAATTATTTGATTGGGTGAGGAATCCATTTAATCCTAGTTTAGAAACCTCACATCTTTCATTAAAAGAGGAAGAACAACTTGCAGAATTAAAAAACGATCGCACTCTTCAAATGAAATTTAATGAGCTCGAGCTATGCCAATTTTGGGTTTACACAAAAAAAGAATATCCAAACTTAACAAAATTGGCTCATTCCGTATTATTACCATTTTCGACATCATATTTGTGCGAGGTAGCTTTTTCTGCTTTGAATGAAATTAAAAACAAAAAAAGGGAAAGATTAATTAATGTCGAAGAGGAGTTAAGAGTCGCCTTATCGAAGATTTCACCACGAATTGATACATTATGTAAGAAATATCAGTCACAAATTTCTCATTAAAATGCTGTTTTACCTATGTTATATTTTTCTTTGTTGTTTTATATATTATAAGTTTATATATTATTAACTAATTATAAATATTTAATACTATCTATTATTCTTATTTTTTTTATTATGTGTTGCAAAGTATGAAAAATTTTAATAGTGTGTCGCCATTATACAAAGGTTGAGAAACACTGATATAGAAGGTACGTATTTGTTCGGAAATAATGTTTTGGAAGATATGACGTAGTTACTATACACTATATACGTAACTGTATTTCGAAAATAAGAATTACGATTATTACTCGATGAAAAAAGGTGTTATTTATTTATCAGATTTATGAAACAATCCGATGTTAGTTTTCCTATCATATATAAGAATAGATTTTATTCACACGTGTTGTAAAAGACGAAAACGCTCAAAAGGCACAGATTACAAATAAAATATATTAGTTTTATTTAATCTGCGCCAAGAGTATAAAAAAATGTCTCTATAAAATGTATTTGATACCTTAGTACGTCCGATTATCATTTTCCGATTCAATATTGTAATTCAGCGGTTCCCATCCGGGGGTACGCGTACCCCTAGGGGTACTCGCGATGATCTCAAAGGGTACGCGAAAAAAATTAAGTAATGGCGGAAAAATATTGAATTTGGTTAATTTAAAACTATTCGTTTCGGAAATATGCAATATACGTTATTACAAATGAAAACTTGTGTTACACAAATAACAATTTTTACTTATCTTATAGATGTGGATTATAGAGTATAGAATACTACATAGAATACTATCTTATTATAGATTATATAATATTATTATATGGTAGGTTGCGGTGTTGGTGTGTATTGAAATTCGGCCGGTTTATATTGTTAAAATATATGTGGGTACATATATGGGTAAAACTTAATTTTATATTGGAATCAGTATGGCGAATGTTTTCAAACTATGATTATTGTATGAAAACTTTTCTTATTTATATTTTATAATTCGTTATTTTCCATTGTTTTCAAATTGTTGTCGGTGGTTGCTTAATATTCTGTAATTTAATTTAAATAAGTACATTGTGATAAATATGGATCAATGGTTAAAAACTGGTACAATAAAAAAACTAGACCAAGTTGGAGAAACTATTCATTTAACAAGTACTTCTCAAGACTTAACTAAAGATTTGGTACAACACACAGAAAATGCACAGTCTTCAGTTCTTCAAAATGGTAAAAAGAGAGAATACATTGATGAATATGTAAAATATGGATTTTCATATGTAGGAGATTTTGACTATCCTAAACCTAAGTGTATTGTGTGTGGTGAAGTATTGTCGAATAGCTGCATGAAACCTTCTCTGCTCTTAAGACATTTAGAAACAAAACATGTTGATTATAAAAATAAAGAATGTGATTTTTTTAAACGTTTAGCTAGAAATAATGAGAATACGTTGATTTTGACATCATATATAAAGCCAGCTAATAAAGATAACCAAAACGCGATTGAAGCTAGTTATTGTATTAGTTATCGTATTGCAAAATGTGGTAAGAATCATACAATAGCTGAAAATTTGATTTCTCCTTGTATAAAAGATACCGTTCAGTGTATGTTTGGAGAAGAGAACGTAAAAAAGATAAACAGTATTCCTCTTTCAAATAATACAATTTCTCGTCGAATTCAAGATATGTCTGAAGATATTGAGTTGACAGTAATAGATAGAATAAATAAAAGTAAAATTTTCGCTATTCAAGTTGATGAAAGCACCGATGTTACCAATTTCGCAGTTTTACTTGTTATTGCAAGGTATTTAAATAATAATGAAATCGAAGAAAATGTTTTGCTTTGTCATTTATTGTCTGAACACACAACTGGTGAAGATATATTCAATGCTATTGATTGTTATTTCAAAAAAATGAGTATTAATTGGTCCAATTGTTGAAGACTATGTACCGATGGTGGAAAGTCAATGTCGGGTATATATTCTGGTCTTCGAGGTCGCGTTATGAAAATAGTTCCTAATATAAACTGGAGTCATTTTTGTATTCATCGACAGAGTTTAGCATCTAAAAATCTTCTAAGAGAACTAAAACTCGTTCTTGATGAAGCTGTTAAATTAGTTAATTTTATAAAAGCAAGGTCTACAAATTCGAGAATATTTAAAGCTTTATGCGAAGACATGATGAGTCCTCATTCAAGTTTACTTTTTCACACAGAAGTTAGATGGCTATCCCGTGGCAAGGTACTTGCACGTTTATTTGAACTAAGACATGAGGTCCAAATATTTTTTGAAGATCATACTTTTCAATTATCTTCAAAATTACACGACTGCAATTGGCTTCAGGCGCTTGCGTATTTATCTGATATTTTTTTACAAATAAACAATTTAAATTTGGAACTTCAAAAAAATTCAATAACGATTTTCAGTGTTTCGGATAAAATTAAATCAATGCTTAAAAAAATAGATTTTTGGAGGGTATGTATTGAAAATGACCAACCTGAGGTATTTGAAACGTTACACAATTTTCTATCTGAAAATAAACTAGTTATGTATCGGGAAATTAAGAAAAACATAATTGAACATCTGGAAGGGTTAAAATTATCATTCAAAAAATACTTTTCCAAACTTGAAAAAGAAAACAATTGGATTTCAAATCATTTTAATGAAGAATTCTTTCAAAAAGCGACATCTTTATCGATCGTAGAAAAAGAAAACTTGATAAAACTTTCATGTGACACGACTTTAAAAAGTGAGTTTAAAAGAAAACAATTTATTAATTTTTGGGTAGATATTAGAAACGAATATGAGCGACTCTCTGCTAAGGCAATTGAGTTCCTATTGCCATTTACCAGTACGGAGTCGGTCGAAAGAGCGTTTTCTTCATATATATTTATTAAAAATAAGTATAGAAATAAACTGCAAGCTCCAGATTTATGATTATATCTCGCATCATTTGAACCTGATATTAAAAAACTATGTAATTTGAAATAAGGTCAAGGATCTCACTAATTATTTTCATTTAAATTTTTTGTTTATTAAATAAGTAAAATAAGTAATTTTTTATGTGTCTTATTACTCAATATAAAAATATACACATTATTACATTATATTATATTATTGTTATTTTTAATTAAATGTTTTATGAGTGGTTATGTGAAAAATTTTTAAAAATATAAAGAGGGGTACAATTTAGAAAAATATTAAGTTTAGGGGTACAGAAGGAAAAAAAGGTTGGGAACCGCTGTTGTAATTAATAATTTAAATAACAATAAAAAAAATTATTTTCTAAAATCAATAAGTAAAAATTTTGCATACCTAGGTTTTGAAAACATTTTTCAAAAGGTGATAAGTAATAATACAATAAGTAATAAATATATATTTAAAAAAAAGTTAGATTATAGAATTATTTTGGATTTTATGAAATTTTTAACGATACAAAAATGGTTTGATTACCTTATGGGAAGGGAGGAAGCGGGGATTTTTAAAGACCATTTACATTTTTGATTAGGGGCCCCATTTTATATTTTACTTTAGGGTCCTCAAGTGTCTACTTGCGTCAGTGCTAATGCAAAGCATATAGCTTTATTTTTCGGCGTTTAAACACAGTGTTCATAAAACGGCCAACGAACGCATTTAATATGCGCAGTGTGTATCTAGCTTGATTATTATTCTCAAGTAGGTAAACTAATAAAATATATTAATATTTAAAATTACATTTAAAAGAGAAAAAACCCTTTTATAAATGTCTTTCAAATCAAAAAGTACAGATAAAAAGTTTTGGTTTTAAATTCTTAGATGCACGAAACAAATTGTATGCTCGGAAAGCTATACGTTTAAAGGGAATGTTTTAGCTTTTACAAAGAAAGAATTCTTCTAAATTAAGGGCAAAAATCACTGTACTTCTTGCTCAGTAAATATTATAATTTTAGCATAAAAACAAAGTTATTACTTTACAAAATTCTTTTATTACCCTCTTGGACTTTCGGTATCCAACTTTTGAGTGCGTCCAAATAATTTAATACTAATAAAATTTATAACTTTCAATCTATAACTCTTCGAATAATAACAAATGTTCCACCCTATGTGTCAAATCAGAGACTTTACACAGATTTAAAAATAAATATAATAGAAGAAACGGCCAAAATCCTATATAAACCAATTCGCTCCCGACTGACAAATCCGTTAATATCCGTTCTTAATTCTGACATTATACCTAGATATCCATATTGCAGGTTTAAAAGAAATTGGTCTACAGACCTTAATGTTAATTAAGCTCGAAAACAAATCAATGCATAAAGTGTCGCCATTGGGTGACTGCTCTTTTCATACACATCCAAAATATTATATAATATCAGCATGCAAACTTATTGCAATAACTAATTATAGATCGTTTGTTTTATAAATAAATAGTTTAAAAACAAAGAAGAAAAAATTCGATTTTAATCGAAATCCCATTCCCAATTATATTTTTATTATATGACATTTTTCAACGATAAATTTGTTTTGTTTAGAGATCATTATAATTTACTGCGTATTGTTATAATTATTTTTATTTGATTTTTTTATTATTGATGTTCGACCACTGTTATTTTATTAATTATTCATGATTAGTAATAATTATTAATTGACTAGCAGACCCGGCGAACTCCGTTTCGCCACCAGATTCGTTTTATGTAACATTTCGTTTGGTGATTAAAAGATAAAGAAAAAAAATTTTTTTTGTTATATATTTGAAAAGGAAAATATTTATTTCATTTCACAACAGTAATAAATTCATTTCAATTACCTACTAAAATGAAGTGTTATTTAATTGTTTCATTGTAGTGCTCTTTGGTAAACCACATTTTTTGTTTTTTGGTCTGACGTTAACACAAACAAAGCGGATGGTTTCCCAACTCGTGAACACGCAACGTATAACTGTCCATGTGAAAAACAATGATTTTCCAAATTTATCCCGCAAACACTAAGCGATTGGCCTTGCGACTTATTAATTGTCATTGCGAACGCAAGGCGAACTGGGAATTGCAATCGTT